CCCACGTGTCCGTCAACAGGTGAATGGGAAACACAGCGTGATCCATCCACGTGGTGGAATATTACTCAGCCATGAAAAGCAAGGAAGTGCCAACACACTGCGACCTGGACGCATCCTGAGAACAGCATTTCGTGGAGAGAACCACATCCAAAAGGGCCAATATCGTGGTTCTGGTTCTAAGAAACGTCCAGAGGACATGAACCTGCAGAGACGGGAGGCAGAGCGGTGGGTGCTGGGGGCGGGGGGAGGGGCGTGGGAAGTGGCCGCTGATGGACGGGGCTTCCTTTCGGGGTGATAGGAAGGTCCCAGGAGTAGACAAAGGTGGTGGTTGCACAACCTTGTGAACGTACTAAGTGCCGCCAAATTATACACAATGGTGGAAACGGTGAATTTCCTGCCCTGTTTCACCACAATAAAAAAGTAGCAGGAATAACAGCCAGGTTCCTGCATTGCTCACCGCGTGCCAGCCCCTGTTCTGGGCGCCGCCTCTCCCGCCTCCCGCGGAGCCTCAGCACAGATGGGCGCCCGGCACGAGGGCGGCTCTCCCAGGTCACCGGGAAGGGCTGAGGCTCCCGCGGGCGGGCGGGCGGGCACTCCTGGCCTCGTTCGCCTCGTGGGGCGGAAGTTTCTCTTTAGAGCCGTTTCTGTTTCTCCGCGCCCGGTCTGCCCGCGCCCGCGGCTCCTCGTGGTCCGTCAACGGTTGGACACGGATCGGCTCCCGCAGCCACGATCTACGGGCACCTCCTTTCACTCTGGACTCTGACGGCTTCTTCTGAGAGCCACTTCACGTGGCCGCCTCTGGACTTAGTTCTGGAACGCGGGGTTCCCAGGGGTCAAGGGCACGGTGTCCGGCTCCCAGGCCCCGTGCTGCTTGGGGCAATTGTCGCCTCCTCATGGGCCCCTCTGGTCCCCCACCTGCCTGTTTCTGGACCCTCCCAGCCTCTCCCCACCTGCCGCCGGCCTCTCTACCTGGATGGGCCACAGGCTTTGCCGGGAAGGACTGAGCGTGGGGGCTGACGCTGACCCAGAGCCTTCCAGTGGGGAGGAGGCCAGGGAGTCAGGGCGCTCGGACCAGGGGCCGACCGTGCCAGTAGCTGCATGCACCCACTTCGCTCCATCCTCAAGCACCCATGAGGGAGGGATTGCCCTCACTCCCGTTTCACAGATGGGGAAACTCTACTGCCCACACCACCCACCTCCAGAGCCTCTCGCAGCAAAGCCAGGCCACGGCGGTGGGGACATCCTGGATGACGGAGCCAATGGCTCGACGGCTGCTGGGGGCTGCACAGAGCCCCCGAGCCCTGGATGTGGACACAGCTGCCAGAGAGCCCCCCGCAGCGCCCACCTTCAGCACATGAACTGAGTCACAGGGCGATGTCCGCCCCAGGTGAGATGGGCACAGGGCAGCGTCCGTGGTCCTGAGTGCCCCTAGTCCTGAGTCCACTCACTTCCCCGGGGGGACCGGCCAGCGAGCTGAGTGGGAGGAGCCCTCGCCTCTGTCAGCCTCCCTGCCCCCAGCAGGCCCGCCCGCCCACACTCATGCCCTCTGTCTCCTTGTCCTGGCCTGCGGCTCACCGGCTCTACGGGCCTGACGCCTCCCTGGGGAAGCGGCTTCCACAGCTACCCTGGGGCCGGCTGGGGACAGACCACCCTCGCGGCCTCCCCACAGGCTTGGAAATGCTCCCCACCCCCATCTGGACTGTGTCCTTCAAGTCTCAGCTGTGGGGACGCTTCCTCCAGGAAGCCCTCCCAAGCTTCTTCCCCTGAGCCCATCTCTGGGCCTCCCGTGCACGCTCTGGGCTGCTGGGCCTGGAGGAAGGGGCATGTTATCTTCTGTCCTGCACGCGAGACGTCCCCTCCCTGCTCCCGGCCTCTCTGTCACCTGTGATGGTGGCCGGCTCAGGGCTGCCTGAGCTGCTTCAGACCCTCCTGTTATGAAAATGCTCTGCTGGCCTGGGGAGAGCTGGGTGGGGAGGGGACGGGCCCCCTGCCTGCGCCCGGCAGGTAGGTCTGCTCAGAGGCTCGAGAGCTCCTTGAGCTGTCACTCCAGGTGGGGGAGCGGGGACGCAGCTGGGGCCTGCCGAGGCCAGATGGCTGAGTCTCTGTTCCGCCCCCACGTCTGAGTGACCTTGGGCCCGTCAGGGCCACCTGGGCCTCCTGGGACGTGCTGGAGGCTGTGAAGCTGAGCAGAAGTGACAGGCTCCTGTCTCCCCATCTGGTTAACTTCCAGGCTGGGGACAGAGCGGGGGTGGGGGGGCCTCAGGCCTGAGGAACACTGGACTGGGCCCAGCAGGGTGCCCTTCTCACCAGGCCCACCCATGAAGGGTGCCTGCTGGGGGCCCTGGGGACGGGGACATGGCCCCCCGATGGGTCACAGCCCTTCCAGGGTGACTCCATGGTGAGCAAGCCCTGCGTGGGGACAGAGCCCAGGCCCTCCGTGAACGTGGATGGGCGTGGGGGTGGCTCCCCTGGGCTGCTCAGCGTCCAGGGCCTCCTGCAGAGCTGGGGTCAGTGGCTCTGCAGCCATCACCAGCTGGCCTGAGGCCTGGTGCCCACAAGATGCCTGTAGGACCTCCAGGTGGTCCATCTCCCTCCAAACTGTCCCCAGCACAGGGACACCTGTCACAGAGCCGTGCCCTGCCCCTGGCTGGCCACCCCCGGAAGCTCCAACTGCTGCCTTGGCCCTGCCCTCCCTGTGTCTGGGTCCCGACCCAGGGGCTCTCGTGAACCCTCCTGACCCCCAACTGCCTGGAAACCCACTGCCCGGCTGCTAGGGGCCCCGCTGACCCCTCCGCCTCAGAGTCTGTTGAGGGGATGCTGGTGCCAGCAGGTCCAGCCAGGGGCTGCAGAGGCCCCACGTCGGGGACCTGGGCTTGTCCCCTCCCTGCGAGGTTCTGCCCAGAAACACAGGACCAGCATCCTCTCTGTGCCGCTCCCCCTGTGGGGTCCTGGAGGTGAGCCAGTGGCCTGTGTGTGAATCCTGCCCGCTGCCTCCCAGCTGAGCTGTCTGCCCGTGACTCAGTGTCCCTTCTGTGCAAAGGGAGAGTAACACCTGAGGCCATGTGAGAGTCGGGTGCCGGGGCCTGAGAGGCTGGTGTGAGCTCTTAGGGAGGAATACCATCAGTCACTCCCTCCTCCTCTGCCGCCTCCTGCCTCAGTTTCTCCTAGAGGATCAGGGCCCTGGGCTGCAGGCTGGGGGGTGTCCTCCAGGACTGCCTTGGGAGGAAGGGGGTACCCGGTCCCTGGGGGTGTGCACGTGGAGTCTGAGGCCCTTCCTCCCCCACGGCAGGTTCCGAGCCGCTGTCTTAACGCTGTGGAGGAGGGTGCCTGGCAAGGACTTAGCCCGGGGAACCTCGGCGTGTCCTGAGACTCAATTTTCCCGTTACTAATGCAATTTGGAAACAAATAAATCCAATAAGCCTGCCTGTCTGCCCATGCTCAGCCGCGCTCCATGCCCCAATGCACGCTGTGCCCACGGTACCCTTGCAGCCCTCACTCGCCGCAGACCCTGCAGCCGACCTGCCTGGGGATTCAGGCCCAGAGACCCCTGAGGCTGCATAGGGCGGGAAGGGGCCAAGGGGGCTGCTGGTCACTCCCAGCACCAGGCGCTGGGCCAGACATTCACTGGCCTCCACTCAGTCCGTGCCCACAGCAGCCCCATGCAGTGGGCACTGCAACCCCACTCCCCGGATGGGGAAACTGAGGCTCAGAGAGGACCACCTGCCCAGCCACATGGCAGACAAGGGCAGGGCCAGATTCCAACCTCAGAGACCTCCCAGGGCGTCTCACCCCAGGATCTCCTCTCGTCCGGGGACCAAGGGTGAGGAGACCTGGGGGTCTGCCGCGGGCTGGGGTGGGGCCCCAGTCCCCTGGCAGGCATTTGCTCAAGTCATGCTGGTCCAGCCTCACTGCAGGGCAGGTGGGCCTGGAACCCACCTTGGGGACCATGTCCTGTCTCTGAGTAAGTTAGAGGGGGACCTCCATGCTGGCAGGACGTCCAAGGTCATGGAGCTCAGCCCTGTGTGCTCTGGCGCGTCCCCTGGGTCCGCTGGCTCCCGGGGAGGGTTGGCAGCTCGGCCTGCTCCGGCCACAGACAGACACCGTGGGAGAAGCAGGTTCTCACGAAAGGTGAACCGTGGTCCCACCCGTGGGCCCCACCCTGAGTGGACCCTGTGTGTCTGCTTCCATTGGGGACATCGAGGCACAGAGAGGCTTGAGGATGGTCCTCAGGCCATGGCAGCCCCGAGAGTCCCCTGTCCCTGCCCACGAGGCCCGGCCCTGGATCAGTCTGTGTGGGGGGACGTCTCAAGCTGCTGTCCCCGAGCCCGCATTGGTGAAGCCCTGCTGTGTGCCAGGTGGTGTCACCTGGGGGGGCCCAACCGAAGGTCAGGGCCACGGGAAGGGGGCGGCCCAGGCTCGTGTCCAAGGGGGAGTCCTGGGGCGAGTGGGGGACGAGGTGGCAGCGAGAGAGGAGGGGCAGGGGCCGCGGGACTGTGCTGGGGTGGGGACGTCCTGCAGAGAGCACTGCGGGGTCTCGCGGGCGGGAGGGGGAGAGCTGAAGCGGAGAACCAGGAACCGCTGCCCGCGCTCGGCGTTTCACGGCTGACGGCGCCCTCTGCTGGCCATGTTGGGCGTCCCCCAGCGCTCCGGCTTGCCCTCCGGATGGGGGACCAGATGCGCCCCAGGACCAGGAATGAGCCCTGCCCTGGGCGGCCTTGGGGACACTGGCCCCGGGACAGGACCTGCGTCCTCCCGTGTGGGACAGATTCGGGCGTCTGACTTCAGGTTCCCACTGGAGGCTGAACTCAAGACCCCATCAAAGACGCGTCGGCCCCTGCGTGCCCAGGGGAGACCCCGCAGGGATGAAGGAGACAGGCGGAAGAGGCGGGGCCCCGGTGCGACTCCCGGCAGGCGCCGGACGGGGGCCCTGCCTGGCCCTTTAAGAGGGCCGCTGGGGGAGGGGTCCCCGTCGCCCAGCAACAGGAGGGCTTGGTGTGTACCTGTCTCCGGGAGACCAGGGGCCGTCCTGCTCCGGGGACAGAGTGGCTGGAGCTGCCCTGCTGACCGTGCCGGGTGGGCACCATGGCGCAGACAGACGTGCTCCTGACCAAGCAGCCCGCCCCGCAGACGGTGCCGGCATGCGAGCTGCCCCGCAAGCTGTACGATGTGGCCCGCAACACGGGCGCCTACACGTCCTCGGGCCTGGCCACCGCCGGCTTCCGCACGGCCAAGTACCTGGTGGACGAGTGGTTCCAGAACTGCTACGCCCGCTACCACCAGGCCTTCGCCGACCGTGACCAGTCGGAGCGGCAGCGCCACGAGAGCCGGCAGCTGGCGGCCGAGACGGAGGCGCTGGCCCAGCGCACGCAGGAGGACTCCACCAAGAAGGTGGGCCAGCGGCTGCAGGACACGCACTGCTGGAAGTCGGAGCTGCAGCGCGAGGTGCACGACCTGGTGGCCGAGACCGACCTGCTGCTGGCGCAGAAGCAGCGGCTGGAGCGCGCCCTGGACGCCACGGCCGTGCCCTTCAGCATTGCCACTGACAACCTGCAGTGTCGCGAGCGCCGCCAGCACCCCGACCTCGTGCGCGACCACGTGGAGGTGGAGCTGCTGAAGGTGCGCCGGCCCACGCCAACTCCCAGAACGGCAGACCCCACCCTCACCTGTCCCAGGGGGTTCACACGTGAGCCCACCACACCGGAAGATGAAGACTTGGCACCGGTGCACCGCGTGGCTGCACACAGGCCCAGGGAGCCCACACCCTGTGCACACACACACGTGGAGCGCACGCCTCTGCATACAAATGCACATATGGAACACACACCACACACACGTGGAGCACACGCCTCTGCATACAAACACACACATGGACCACACACACGTGGAGCACACACATGCACATATGGAGCCCACACCTCTCCACACACACACACGTGGAGCGCACACCTCTGCATACAAACACACATATGGAACACACACCACACACACGTGGAGCACATGCCTCTGCATACAAATGCACATACGGAGCACACACCACTCCACACACACACGTGGAGCACACACGTGCACATATGGAGCACACGCCTCTGCACACACAGAACACAAAACCCTCTGCACACAGATGCACACGTGGAGCACATGGATCCATGCACATATGCACACACGCACATGCACATGTGGAGCACACACCCAGGCCCACACTGGGCACAGAGAAGCTGGCTCTGTTCGTAGGTCGGGGACCAGAAGCACTGGGTGCTGGGGCAGCCCTGGCTGTGGACAGGCTCCGGGCTCAGGCCACCCAGGAGGGAGTGTCCTCCCTGGCCCCAGAGGGGCACCCAGTCTGACCTGCCCAAGCTTGATCCTCACAGTGGGCGCTGGGCGAGGTCGGGCTCCCTGCAAGTTGGCCCCCAGCCCAGACTTGCTGGGTTGGAGACACTGCGTCCTGGGGGCAGGTCCAGACGTGGGGGTTTGAGCATGTATGGGGGCTGGGGCTGGACCTCGGCACTTGTCCACTCGTCCCAACCCCATGTCCAGGGCCCCTGCAGTGTCTCCCTATTATGGCTCCCACCGGATGAGGCAGAGCCCAGGCCAGGACAGGATTCACACCTGGGACATGTGCTGTGGACGTTTGCTCGAGGATGGGACAGTCAGAGGCCACTGAGGCAGGGAGGGGCCTAACCTGTTCCCCCACAAGCCCTGACACCCCTTGACACACCCTCTGAGGACACGGCGGGGCCTGAGCTGAGCCCTCTGAGGTGGCCCCCTGAGGTCTGGAAGGTGTGCAGGGCTGGGGGGCCCCTCTTGGTCATGTCCTGGTGGCACCTACACCTGCTGGGCAGTCCCTCGATCACCCCTGGGTCCTGGCACTCTCTGTGCGGCCCCTCGGGTCACCCCAGGTCAAGAAAATTTAGCCAGACCCTGAGCTCCTGGAGGCCAAGCCCACTATAGCACCCCCCGCACCCCAACGCCCATGGTTGAAATCCAGGCACAGACCAGTGTGCAGGTGTGGACGGGGTGGGGGGGTGGTTGAGGCCACCAGCGGGACTGGTCCTTGGGGCGGCCCCCCAAAAGATCAGGGCGGTACCTTGGCCAGGCCCCTGATCCCGGTGGGCACAGCTCTGGTAGCTCTCAGAGCCTGGGGGCTCCCTGAGAACAGGCTGCAGGCTCTGGGCACTCATGGGAGATTTGGGGAGGAAAACAGCCCACCAGGGTCTCCGGGCACCCCTTGCACCCCCAAGCTCAGGCCAGAATCTTGAGTCTCTCCCCTCCCCCTCCTGCTCTCCCCCAGGCCCCAGCCTGCTCCTCGGCCCCCACCACCTGACCCCCACCCTCGGCTGCTCAAGAACCTCCTAAGGCTCCATGTGCAACCCCTCTGCCCTGAACCCAGTGCATGGACTTCTGCAATGGTGCAGGGACGGGGGACAGACCTGGACACATGGGGGCTCAGTGCCTGATGGTGGTGAAAATTCAAATCAGAGTGATGGATTGTTTGCACACAGAAAATGAGAGCATGGAGTCGCAGAAGGAAACACAGGGTTTCCCCTTGTGTTCTCGGTGTGGGGAAGGCCTCTCTGAGCCCAAGGCTTGAGGAGCAGCCCTGGGGGGCACCTGGTCCCCAGAAGCTGGGGTTCTTGGAGGCTGTGGGCCGGGCTGCCCAGGGGCCAACAGGCAGGCTGATGCCCTCAGTGCCCTTGGTGGGCTGCAGGGATGGCCCCCAGAGCCCAGGGCAGCTGAGAATGGCCTCTGGGTGACCCGCCCCGCAGCCCATTAGAAGCCCCCAGAAGACAGGAGCCCACCGCAGTGCACCAAAGAGAACGTTCAAAAGCCCAGAATAAACTTGACGAGAAAGAGCTGGGCTCAGCCCTACCTTCCAGGAAAGAGACTGGGGGTCAACAGGTGGGCGTCTGGCCCCAGGCCACCCAGCCAGGGGTCAGGTGCCCCAGCTCCCCTGGATGTCGCCCCAAATCTCAGCTCCTCCTGGCGTTCAAGGGGTGGATCACGGGCCCACAGCAGCCCGGCCGTCAGCAGACCCTCACCGGGGCCGGGGGTCTTCTCCCCAGGAGGCCGAGCTCATCCAGAACATTCAGGAGCTCCTGAAAAGGACAATCATGCAGGCCGTGAACCAGATCCGGTGGGTCTCTGTGGCCTCCACGGCTGCCCTCGGGATGACCCCTGTTCTCCTATCCCTGGGGCTGGCTCTGGGCAGGAAGTCGGGGTGACCTGGCCATGAGGCTCAGAGAGGTGGGGCTTGCTCCAGGTCACAGCCCAGAGTGCAGGGCCACACGGGCACCTGGTGGGTGGGGGTGGCAGATTCTTGTGTGTGTGGGGGGGTGAGCCCTAGGCGTCCAGAGCCCAAGCCAGCATCCGGGGTGGGGAAGCTGCTCCTGGACACTGCTGGCCAGGGGGCCCGCGGACCGAGGACCCCCACGCTAGGCAGATGAGATGGCCTCGCTCCCAGCAGAGAATTGGAGGCGGGCTGGCTCCTGGGGGGCTTGCCCTGTACCATGCCCCTGGGAGGCCCAGCTCCCCCTCCCTCCTCAAACGCAGGCCCTGCCCGCCCCAGGCTGAACCGGGAGCACAAGGAGACGTGCGAGATGGACTGGTCCGACAAGGTGGAGGCCTACAACATCGACGACACCTGCGCGCGCTACCACAACCAGAGCACCGACGTGCAGTTCCACCCGCACTGCACCAAGTTCGAGGAGAGGTGGGCGGCCCAGCCCCAGCCCTTCCCGGGGGCCCTCCGCCAAAGCACCCTGTCCCCGCGCCCTTGCCCCTCCCCCCAACCTGCCTGGGCTCCCAGTCCCTCTGCTGGGCGTCCTCCCCATCCCGCCGGCCTCCGGGGTCCTCACCGCACCGGGCCGCCCCAGGCAGGGGGCTGACCTGCAGCTCCGCGCGCGGCCGGCAGGGGGCGCAAGGCCACCGCCCATCGCAGCGCAGCCCGGGGAAGCGCGGGGGGCGCCGGGCACAGGGGGCGCCGGGCGGAGCTGGGGGCACAGGGCACGGGGGGCTGGGGACACAGGGGCGCGGGACGGAGCTGCGGGGCACTGGGACAGAGGGGTGCAGGGGCGAGGCACAGCTGGGGGACACGGGGCACAGGGGCGCGGGGCGGGGCTGGGGTGGGCGTAGGAGGCATGGGAGCGTGGCGGGCACCGGGGGTCGCGGCGTGGAGTTGCGGAGCGCAGGTCGCTGGGGGCTTGAGAGGTAACGGGACGCAGGGTCGCGGTGTGCGGAGGTCGCCGGGCGGGGCGGGGACTGGGGGAGCGTTCAGGCTGGAACGCGGGGATCACTGGGCGCGGGGGTCGTGGGGAGGGACCAGTGGGCCGGAGCCGTTGGCAGGTGCCCCTACCGACCCCAGTGCCCGCACGCCCACCACCGCAGTGCCTCCACGCCTGAAACGTGGGCCAAGTTCACCCAGGAAAACCTGTGCCGGGCGGAGCGCGAGCGCCTGGCCTCGGCCAACCTGCGGGGGCTCATCGACTGCATCCTGCGGGACACGTCCGAGGACCTGAGGCTGCAGTGTGACGCCGTGAACCTGGCCTTCGGGAACCGCTGCGAGGAGCTGGAGGACGCGCGCCACAAGCTGGAGCACCACCTGCGCAAGGTGTGCCGCCGCGCCAAGGCCACGCCCAGTCACGCATGCCCCGCCCAGGCCACGCCCACTTCGTGCCCAGGCCACGCCCCGGCCAGCCCCTGGGGCTGGGCGCCCTCAGCCACAGAAAGAGACCGGGTTTCTTGTGGCCCAGCCCTGGCCCGACATGGCCACCAAGCTTGGGTCATGACCAGGCCTTGCTCCTGCTCCTCCTCTGCCCCGCCCATCCGGAGGGACCCCAGAGGCCCTCACTAAACGAACGAAAAACCAAGCGACATTTGGGGTGGTCGGCTGGCATTGCCACCAGAGTGAGTGACCAGGAGGGGCCGTTAGGTGCAACCAGGAGGAGGGAAGAAGGCAGGAGGTGACCCGGCATGGCTGCCTGGTGGGGTGTCCCTGGGCCTAGCCTGGGCCTGGCTGGGCCATGACCCTAGGCTCAGGGTGACCTTCGCTGCCTCTGAGTCTCTGGTTCTTGACCAGGGTCGGGGGCTGGTGACCCTCAGGGCTGGGGGCACTCAGGCCAGAGCTGCTGGATGACAGGCTCTGCTGTCCCACCAGCTCCCTGGGTGCCCTTGGGAGGGCCGAAGTGGCCGTGCACATCCTCCCCCAGAGCCAGCGGACAGGCCACACGCTGGACAGGGCCCCAGGGCTGGGGGCGGAGGTCAGCCCCACCCGTATGCTGGGGTGGGGTGGGGGAGGCGCTGGCACCCACGGGGTTGTCCTGTGCAGACACTGCGAGAGATCACGGACCAGGAGCACAATGTCGCAGCGCTGAAGCAGGCCATCAAGGACAAGGAGGCCCCTCTGAAGGTGGCTCAGACCCGCCTGTACCAGCGCTCCCTCCGGCCCAACGTAGAGCTGTGTCGGGACACCGCCCAGTTCAGGTGCCTGCGGTGCGGGGCCGTCCTGGGCGGGCTGGGCCACTGCCCACCATCCAGGGGCCATCCACCTGCCTCTGGGCCTCCCTCCACCTCTGGGGACACCGTGAACACCCCACACACAGCCCAGCAGATGCACAGAGGGCAGACTCTGGGCCACACACAGCGCAGCACACACACACGCGGGGTCCCCGTCCCCACGCGCGCCCCGATGCTTGACGCTGGGCTGAGTGATCTTCCGGGTGAGGAACTTGGGGTCTTAGGGTCCCACCTGCCCCGTGGACACCGTCCACACCTCTGCTGTAACAGGCAGACCCACGTCCAGGCTTGTGGGGTAGGTGGGCTCCTGTCTTCTGTTTTTCCAGCTTGAAGCCCAGTTGCCCCTGTGGACAGAAGTGCCCCCCACTCGGGCGTTCTTCTTTCTCTGTCCCCCATTTATCCAGGAAATGGGGGCCTCTCTCCGCTTGCTCCAAAGGAGTCTGTCCCGCTGTCAGGAATAGAGGAGCCCAGAGCCTCCGTGCGCAGCTGCCATTGTGTGTTACTGCCACATGGTGTCACTGTGGAACACTGAACCCCTCACTGTCCTGAGACACAGGCGCTCCTCTGGTCAGGGGTCAGGGGTTGGCTGGAGGAGGCCCCAGCTCTGGCCCCAGCCGGCTGGTCCTTTGAATTCATCCTCCCGTCCCGTGGGCTTCCATCCGTCCATCCAGGAGCCCGGCACACACCCTCTCCCACACCCTTGGGCCAAGCCCCCCCTCCCCCACAGCACTGCTGGTTGGATTCCTTCAGGACGTTTGGGTCCTTTTCTGGGTGAGCACCTGGGCAAGGACCCCTCAGTGGGGTTCCCAGCCCTGGAATCTCAGGCTTTGGTCCCCCCAGCTCACCCCGCCCTCCCCCAAACCCCGCAGGCTGGTGAGCGAGGTGGAACAGCTGAACGCATCCCTCGCAGCACTGAGGGAGAAGCTTCTGGAAGCGGAGCAGTCGCTGCGCAACCTGGAGGATACACGCATGAGCCTGGAGAAGGACATCGCCGTCAAGACCAACAGCCTCTTCATCGACCGCCAGAAGTGCATGACCCACCGCGCCCGCTACCCCACCGTCCTCCAGCTGGCCGGCTACCAGTGACGGGGGCTGGCCCCGTGGTGGGCACCCCCACTCACCCGGCTGGACTCGTCCCCCACCCCTCAAATAAAGAGCACATTAGCTTTCTCCTCATGGCATGTGGTCCTGGCATGCTCTGGAGGCGGCGACCTGGGAAGGTGGGCTCAGTCTGTGGATGGACCTCGTTGTCCCAGCCCAGCCCCCAGTTACCACCTGGGGAGAGGGGTCAGCCAAGCGTCATAGAGGCCCAACTTTGCTGCTCATCGCTGACCACTGGGGGCCTCTCCCCAGCTCTGAGCCCCACCGAGGCACAGACGGATTTCTCTGCCCACCTGGGCCACCTGCAGGATGCTTCAGAGGGAGTGTCACCTCCGGTCCACTCATCACAGTCTCTGGTCACCACATCACTGCTCTTTTCCTTCCATGTGCCCCGGACACTGTCACCGTGAGGCCGATGGGCTGTCCCCTTGTTAGCAGGAGGTGAGCCTGGAGCAGAGGTGTCAGAACATACTGCTGGCCGGGCTCTCCCCCAAGGGACATGACCCCAGGTCTGTGGGTGTCCACAAAGCTCCCCAAAGCCCCTCGAGGGTGCCAGGTAGGGCCTGGGGCAGTGACCACCCCAGGAACCCATGGGACCTCTCCCCACCACTCCTACCTGGCACAGGCTGAGCATCCGGGGCGGCAGACCCTGAGCTGGCGGGGCAGTCGGGGCTGGTTAGGGGGCCTCCACTCCCAGCCACCTCGGTAACCTCAGGCAACCAGTCTCCTTGTCCAGTGAGTGAGTCAGGTGGGGTGTGTGTGGGGGGGTGGGGACCGCAGAACCCCCACTGGCCACCTGGCCCCACGCCACCCTGCACCCTGTGTCCCTGGGTCTGGGCAGAACTGTGGCCCCCATGGGTGCAACAGCCAGGGCTCCCCCCGAGGAGGGCCAGACACTTTGTGGATGGTCGGCAGGCGGTGAGGCCCCTCTGTCCGAGCCCCATCCCCCGCCCCCGACCAGCTCCTGGCTGCCGTCTGCTTCCCAGCGACGGCTCACCAACAGGACTCTCAGGGACGCGTCCATTAAGAGGCTGGGAGATAATGATTCCCGCTGTGCACGCAGGCCACTCAGCCCCCATTATCACCCTGCGGCCGAGGCCGGTTCCACAGCGGTGTCGCCATCATGCTGAGCATGTCCTCGTCCCAGCCCTGAGGAGGGTGGCAGCTGATGGGGAGCTAAGTGGGGGGCGGTGCATGTGAAGCTCATCATCTCTGAAGCTCGGCTGGTGGCAGGAGGCTGGGAGGGTGGTGGGTACAATCCCCGGGGTCCGCCCTGCGGGGTGCTCATTGTCGTGGTTGTCTCATGGCCACCTAGGAGGCTGGAAATGTTGTTCCCTTGTCGAGACACATGATCGGGCTCTGGAGCTGAGGGACAGCTCAGGCCACAGGGCAAATTCCCAAGGCTGTGTCTTTCTGGAGTGTTAACCTCTCTGGGGAGCCTGGAGGTGGGGCAGATGGCTGTGCCTACCCTGAGGCTGGCCAGTCTCTGCCAGTAGGGGTTCAGCCCCTGCACACTCCAGGTCACATGTCACCCCCCTCCAGGCGTCATTAGAGCGCGCTGAGCGGTGGCTCCTTCGGGCACCGTGTTGACCAACACAGTCTTATCATCAGTGCAGTTTATGGCTGGAGAAAGGGAAGCACAGAGGGTCCCGAGCCCACCCTGCCCCCAGCCCAGGGCAGGTCTGTGTGCAGAGCCCACCCTAAGATGGCCCCCACTCCTACTCCTGCTATCTGCATTCCTACATATGTTCATGTGGACGGAGAGGCTGTGACAACATAATCATGGGGTGATTCTCCAGCGGCCTGGAGACCTTGACCTGCTAGGCTCCGTAGTGACTGAGCCATTGAGCCCGGTGGCTGGGGTCACGTGCCCCTGTGGTCCTGGGGGAGAGGCTGCAGGGTGGACTCAGGCCTCCAGAGTAGCAGGAGGGTTGCTGTCTCCCCAGCTGTCTTCAGCCCCTGCACACATGGGGCCCGTGCTCCAGGCTCCAGCCGCTCAGTCCAGTCTCTGGGTTGGGGCCATGGAGGCTCTCTGGTCCCTCCCCGGTCCCCAGCTGCACTGGCTCGAGTCACAAGGACATGGTGGCCTTCCAGGGCTGCTGTGGGAAGGGAGGCAGTGAGGGGGCTCAGACGGCCCCCCTGGTGACGCTGTGGCCCCTCTGTGAGCCGGCTGACCCTGTGGGGCTGCGGCGTTCTGCCGCACTCCCGTCGCCACGGAGATGCCAGGCTGCATGTCCGAGCCAGGGCTATTTCTGTCCAGGTCCTCCCGCCACCTGCTGAGTCACCCTTGGCTCTCGCTGGACCCTCAGCTCAGAAGCTGGCCCGCCAGCCATCTCCCAGCAAACGTTCCCCAGCCAGGGTCCCCAAGGCCTGGGCTCAGCCTGGCCCTCCAGCCCAGAGGGACCCCAGGGCCCATTTCCGGCCCTTCACGCCACCCTGACCCTCTTGAAAAGGTGCCTCCCACATGCAGGACAAGTTCAACTCGCCATTCCCCATGAAGGGGACTTGCAGTGATCACCCATGTCTTTTTGGGGGGCAGCTCTGCCTGCTGGCATCATGGAGCTCAGAGGGGAGGGACATTGGGGCCCTGCTGCATGGCTGAAGCTGCGGCGTCCCCCAGTGGCTGTGCTTGGCCCGTGTCCATCCACCACAGGGGGCCCTTCCGCCACTTCTGAGCCATTGGTGCCCAGGATACTGTGGGGAGACCGAGGCTCAGACCCAGGGAGCGGCCGAGCGCGCAGGGAGATGTAGGAGCCCCAGAGGCGATGATGGGGGCCAGAGAGGAGCCCCGGCCCGCCCCTGGGTCCAGCGGCTCCCACAGGGTGGTGGTGCCGAGAGGTAGGAGACCAGGCCACGTGTTGCCCACAGGGCTGCCTCCATCTCAGAAGCAGGTCGCAGCCGTGCTGCCCAGTGGAGGCTGCAGGGACCCACAGGCGGGTGAGCCAGGGTCTTCACACCCCTCTGTCTGTGCCACCGCTGACTGTGGGGTGAAGACAGTTGCCCCTAAAAGGGCCACTGGGCCCTGCTGGAGGGTAGGCTGTCATCTTGGGGTTGGGGGACCAGCTTCAGTGGCACTGCCCCGTCCACAGCCCTCATAGCCCCACTCCCCCTCTGCCTGGCACGAGAAGCCCCCCACAGGCGGAGGCACCTTGGTCTGCCCCTTTCCTCCCACCCTCGCCCCCTCCCTGGTCATCAGTGTGCAGGGATGGGCCCCAGGCTGTGCCCAGATGGGCAGGCACAGTGAGCCAGTCTGGCGGCCCACAGCCTGCCTCCCAGCAAGGCGGCCACACTTCCTCAGGCCTGTCCAGCGTCTACCCACAGGCGGCCTGGCATGACGGGGGCAGGAATCGCAAGCCCCGAGTCCAGAGGCCGAGGTGCCCAGCCCTGCCTCTGGGCTCAGTCTCCAGCTGTACAGAACCAGAGTCTGAGTGGGGACGAGGCTGGGCCCTGGTGTGGGCTTGCCTTCCGCTCACAGTGGGTGTGGCCCACCTGCCACTGCCGGGGCGGGAGGGCTCTGTGGTCACTCCCACAGGCGCACTGCAGGGGCACATGTCTGATCTGCTGAAGGGCTGGGCCGATATTGAGGCCCCCAGCAGGGTGTCACACAGGCCTCTCGCTCCACTGGGCACTGTGACCCCAGGAGGGCACAGCGGGAGGTGAGGCAGACACCACCGGCCTGGTCAAATGCTGCTTTTCTAGTCAGAGCCGGAGGGGCGTCATGGTGCCCAGGCGGGCCAGCGCAGGGCTGGTGGCCCTGTTCTGCATCTCCAGCTCCACATGCTATTTGGCCTCCAAACCCCTCAGCAGGCTCCACCCAGCCCCAGCTCCACCCCCCCCGACTCCCCCAAGTCACTGCACCCAGATGGGGCAGCAGGCTTGGTTTCTGCCAAAGGAGGACAGCGGCCAGCCCACGATGCCATCCCCAAACCTGGTCCGTCCCAGATGCCCCCAGGCACCCAGACCCACACCAGGGTGCAGGGAGGGACAGGAGGACCCTGGAGTCCTTGTCACGGGGCTGCACAGACCCTGCGGCAGGTGGCGGGCGGGGGCCCTGCAAGCCTCCTGCCTGGGCTCTGCGGCTGGCCCGAGGTCTGTTGGTCTTGGATGGCTCGGCGGAGCCGTGGGCGCCTGGGCGGCATGAAAGGGCTCTTTCACCGGCCGCTGGGGCAGTGACGCTGGAGACGGCCAGCAGGCAGCAGCGCCCACGGCCGTGCAATGGTAACTGGGTGCATGGGGGCAGGCGGGGGTCTTCACAGCCCCCCTGGACAGGCTGGGCTTGGGGGGGTTCTGTGCTACCCCTGGACCCCAGCAGGAGGGGGTTCCAGTCCTGAATGGCTGCTGGGCAGGGCCAGAGGACCAGCATGGCCAGGACCCTAGGTCTCCACAGGGACAGGGTGGGGGCTCCAGTGGCACAGGCCTGCCTATGGGGTGGGGTCCCCTAGAGACACCCACTCTTGTCAGGTCTGTCCATGGGAGGAATCCAGGAGGCCCTTTCAGGGTCCAATGTAACTGGTGGTGGGGGTGGGTCAGGGTCTGCTGAGCTCTGTGGAGGAGTGGAGAGAAGAAGTCCCACCTGCCAGGGAAGCTCGGCCTGGGAGTGGGTCTCAGACCTACAGTGTAAGAGGACCTTACTCTGGACTAGAGTCCCTGAGGGCTTCCTGGAAGAGGGGGCCTGAGTCTTTGTTCAGCAGGGCTGGCCTCCAGGGAAGAGTGAGGACCCCGACCCCACATGCCTATGCTTGCAGGAGACCAGCCCTGGCTGAGCCTCCTGGACACAGCCTTGGGGAGACCAGGACAGGCAGGACCAATGTGTCAGGGGAAACTGAGGCCCAGGTGCACGTGGGGCTCACCCAGGCCCTCTCTGCAGCAGCTGCTGGTTGAGCTGGGAAGAGGTGCCCCGATCTGGCACGGATGGGCCAGGAGTCAGGCAGGGTCTCCTAGGACAGGGGAGGTGGAGGCAGGAGGCCCAGGCCTGGTGGAGGTCAAAGACCGTCTTCCACACAGCTGAGTGAGGGGCCACATGGGGCAGCCCCCAAGTTGCCCTCCCTCTCCTGGGAGCGCAGGACGCTCTCGCTGCCCTCTGCCCAGCTAGGCAGCCTGGCAGAAACTGTGCCAAGCTGGGACCCGGCCCAGCTAGCCGGGGGGGGGCCCTGCCCTTCCCTGAAGCAGCCCCGCTGCCCCTCCCCGAGGGCTCTGCCCCCCACAGGTGGGTGGGGGCCTTGGAGGGCTGACTCAGAGCCCCCCGCCCCCACGAAGGCTCCCCTTCCATCTGCCAGGCGGGGGGTCCCCAGCCATGGGGGCTTTGGGGACCAGGCAGGCAGGGTGCCTGCTACAGCCCAGAGCTAAGGCCCCGGGGAGGGGTGGGGGTGCCACAGAGGCAGTAGCCCCTGGGAAGGAAGCTCCAGAGGGGAGAGGTGGGGCTGCCTGGGGCTCCTGAAGGGCAGGTGAGTTGTCCCCCGTGCTGGCCCCTCAGATTGGTGGTGGCCCCGTCGTGCTGTGTTGAGGAGGATCCTGAGCCATGTCCAGGTCCAGGTGAAAGTGTGCGGGTATCAATCAGTGACATCTGTCTGGGGCCGGCGGCCGAGTGTGCAGGGGGCACAGCCAGGCCTCCGTCTGGGGCAGGACAAGGTCTGGCCTTGCCCACTGCGGCCCCTGAGAGGCCCGACTGTCCATCTCCACACACGCACTCCCTGGTCCCACCCAGTGTCTTCCCCGACAAGGGGGCACAGCCTGGGCTGCGGGGGGGAGGGGGTGTCGGGGGCTCAGCAGGGGTGTCTCCCCCTCACATGCCCTCCCTCCCTGCCCCCTCCCGTCCCCCAGGCTCTGGCCCCAGTGGCAGCCCCTGCCCTCCTGCTCCTCCTGGCATTGCCTGCCCGGGCCTGGCCTGGCCTGGGGCTGCCCCGGCGGCCGTGTGTGCACTGCTGCCGCCCGGCCTGGCCGCCGGCCGCCCCTGGCCCGCACGCCCCCATGAGCGACGGGGAGGAGTGGGTGTGGCCGCCTCGTGTGCAGCCCACCATCGACATCTCAATCCTCAAAGGTGAGTGTCCATGTTCAGGGCACCCCACCTGTCCCCTGTCCCCACAGGGACATCCCACACTGAGGGGCACAGGGGAGAGGGCGCCGGAGGGGAGGGCAGCGCTCCGGGGTCCCGAGTTAGGCAGAGCTGGCTCTGGGAAGGCGCCTGGCGCCAGGGGGACACACTGAGCAGCTGTCCTCACTCCCTCAGCCTTGTAAGGACGGTCAGCGCCCAGCAGCCCCCTCAAGCAGGAGGCAAAGTGGCCTGGGGAGGGGGCTGTGAACAGAGGGCCTGTGGGTTCCTCAGTCTTGCTCATTGCCGGTGGTGGCCCTGACAGGCCCAGCCCTGGGGGAGGTGGGGAAGGGAGGGCGGGGTCCCTGTGGCCCCTCGAGCGGCGCCCCCTTGGGAGAAGGCAAGAGAGGCTGGGCTCCAAAAAGGTCGTTGTCCTGGAGGGCTGCACAGAAGACCACACTCAGGTAGGACTCGGGCACCAGTTTCCCAGGCCTCTCCTCCTTCAAAGCCCAGTTCAGACCCTTCCTCCGGTAGCTGCCCCGAGCCTGTTGTCCCTGCTGGCCCCATGTGACAATCTGTGCAGGCCCCAGAACGGCCACAGCTTTGGGGTATGGCTTCTTGTTGCCCTGTGTGAGGGGCGGGTTAGCACCCCTCTTACGGACGAGGAGCCTGGGGCTCAGAGAGGTGAGATCACTTGCAAGGCCACATGGTCAGTGAGTCCGGCCCTGGATCCCGAGCCTTGACCAGCATCCTCGGCTCGCTCCCCTGCAGGTGCAAAGGGCGAAGCAGGGCTCAGAGGTCGCACCGGCAGGAGTGGGAAGGAGGGCCCGCCAGGCTCCCGGGGCCCCCGCGGCCGCAAGGGTCAGAAGGGGCAGGTGGGGCCGCCAGGCGCCCCATGCCAGCGAGCCTACGCGGCCTTCTCGGTGGGCCGGCGAGAGGGGCTGCACAGCTCCGACGACTTCCAGGCCGTGACCTTCGACACGGAGCTGGTGAACCTGGACAGCGCCTTTGACCTGGCCTCCGGTCGCTTCCTCTGTGCCGTGCCCGGCATCTACTTCCTCAGCCTCAACGTGCACACCTGGAACTACAAGGAGACCTATCTGCACGTCATGTGCAACCGGCGGGCCACCGCCGTGCTGTACGCGCAGCCCAGCGAGCGCAGCGTCATGCAGACCCAGAGCCTGCTGCTGCCGCTGGATGCCGGCGACACCGTCTGGGTGCGCATGTTCCAGCGTGACCGTGACAACGCCATCTACGGTGAGCACGGCGACCTCTACATCACCTTCAGCGGCCACCTGGTCAAGCCAGCCACTGAGCTCTAGTGGCCACAGAGAGGCCCCACGCTTGCCCAGCTGCGACGGACGTACCCCCAGACCCCAAACCCGCCCTTGCCTTCACCTTCACAGCTCGGGGCCTGACCCCGTGGGACAGTGCAGGCGGAGTGTTGCCTCCCAGGAAGGCGGGAGGAGAGCCCGGGTCGGGGGCGGCTCTGCACCTGATGGAGTTGGCCCTCTGGGTCCAGCGACCTGTTCTGCTTATAAAGGGCTGTGTGGAGCATCCTGCGTGGGGACACTTGTGAAGTACCTACTGGGTGCCGGGGTGGACGATGGGGAGGCCGGTGGTCAAACGCAGACCATGGCCCTCTCGGAGCCGATTCCGGCAGGAAACATGCTAAATTCGGGGGGTGTTAGCAGGCGGCAAGGGCTCCTGAGACAGGATGACGTCAGGCTGGGTGGGGACGAGAGGCTCGCCCTCGGTTGAACACGCGGCCTGGCTCTGGTGGCGTCCTCTCGTCTGTCTGGAATGGGCTGGCCGGTGGAGGAAGGTCATAGCTCCATGTGCACCAGAGCCCGAGGGAGCCCCAGGCCCCCAGTCCCCTGTGCCTGAGGGCAAGAGGGCGGACCTGGAGCTGGCCACACTCACTCTGCAGGAGGCCTCTGTCGACCCTGGGTTGGAGCCACCAGGCTGCTCTGCTCTAAAATAGACTCCCAGTCTGTTCCTTTCCTGCCACGTGTTCCCTGGCCACTCCAGAACCTTCTGCCCAGCCCCTCTGGCCCCACCACTGCTGCCTCCTCCCTGGGGCCTCTCCAGTATCTCTTCCGAGGCTGCTCCCTCCTGAGTGAGGACTCTGGGGCAAAGAGGCCACCGAGACCCTGGCAGGAGCAGCGTGTGAAATCACCAGAGCCCAGCCAAGCTGGCTGAGGTCCTGGGCCATGGTGAGGTGGCTGGAGCTGCAGGCTGGCCGGGCTGGGCTGGGCTGGGCTGGAGCTCTTGCTGAAGGAAAGCCCATGGGCCACTGGCTGGAGAGCGGGAGGGGGCAGGAGGCAGCTAGGGCAGCCCCAGGTCCCTCTGCTCCACGGATGCACCAGGAGCAGGCTGCCCGCTGGGCTGCCTGGGGCCTCATGGTGCTGGACAGGCACGGGGGCTTGCTCAGTCCTCGTCCACCTCAGGGGCTCTGGGCCCACAGAGCACCCAGCCTGGCTGGTCCCTCCATCACGGCCCACCCCAGCTTGGCTCCGTCCCTCCAGGAGCCCCAGCCCACGAATCGATGACCCACTGGGGGTCCCACATCCTCGGGCTCGCTGGGGCCCCAAGGAGGGTGGTGTGCGGGCCGGGGGACCTTCTCTGGACAGTGGTCAGCGGATGGGGGCAGGTGGGAAGGAGGTGGAAGACCTGCTCATCCATGTCACACACAGGCACCTCTTCGTCCCTGTGCTGGGGGAGGAGACGCAGGTGGGCACACGAACACCCTCCCGGCCCACATGGAGCTCGGCTACCCCACAGGAACATCACCCCTGAGCTGGGGCTGGAGCAGGAACCTCCCTGCCCGCCCCGTGGACAGGGGCCGGGCAGAGGGGACCTGGGGCACAAAAGCCTAGAGAAGCAGAGCTGGGGGGGAGGGGTGGTGAGCAGGCCCCGGCCTCCCGGACACACAGAGTGGGGCTCCCTTGACAGGTAGGGAAACTGAGGCTAGCAAGCGTCTCCAGAACCCCTGTGCGTGCCTGTGTTGACCTTGTCTCCCACCTCCTCAGGGCAGGAGCCTGCTTTGTCTGAACCCAGAACCCTGTCGGGGGGCGGGGGAGCCCAGGCCGGGGCTGGGGGTTTGGAGTCACAGCCTCCCCCAGGTCTGAGCACAGGCCCCACGCCCAAGGCCTCAGCTTCTCCCTGGGGCCTCCCAGAAGCAGGTGTCCGGACCCAGAGACACAGAGCATCAGGGGCTTAAAGGGAACCCCTGTCCCCGGGACCCCTCGCTGGACCAGACGCGGCCATGGCACTTGGCCAGTGACAGCACACTCCTGGGGGGCTTGATGTGGGAGGGGGGCCACGTCCTGGCCTGGCGGAGCCGTGGCCCTGCCGGAGACAGGACTGGTGCTGGGAGGCAGCCCTGGACGCTGAGCTGGGTGGAGGCTGCCCTTTGGCCCCTCGGCCCGTGTCCTTTTATGGCTGGAATAGCCGGGCACACCCAGGGCGCTCGGCAACGGGCAGGCGCGACGGGAGCCACCTCGGAGGCTGATGGGGCTCAGTGGCAGGGAGATTCTGCTGTAGAGATAAAGGAGCCTAAACAAGAACACGGGGTCTGCAGGGCATTGGGAGGACCCCGCCTCCCTCCATCCTCCCAGGCCCTGGACTCCGCACCCAACCCCGGCCAGGACCCCAGACACCCCTGTGTGCCGCGGGCCAGCCTGGCCAGGAGGCGGGGGAGGGAAGCCTCTGTTCGGGCTACAGACAAGCCCATGTTCTTCTCAGCTCACTGCCGGGCAGTGGGGACCCAGGGCCTCTGCCAGGCCCCCCAGAGCAGCCTCCAGGGACCCTGAAGGTGCAGGGCTGAGAGGACCGTGGCCTGGGAGGGGTGCCTGGGCCCGGGGAGTCTGCAGACCCGGCGGCCCCTGCCTCCTTCTCACCTCCCCGCGTGAGCCTGGCTGTCCACGGAGCCAGGCAGGGATCACAGGGGCAGCTCGGCCGAGCTCCCCAGACAGACCCTGCTCCCAGCCACCGACCCAGGAAGGTAGAGCCGGTCAGGCCAAGAAGGGCATCCAAGCGCCAAGGTGACTTGCATCCTCAGTGAACCAGGGGTGGGGTGGGGCTCATGTCCTGCACGTGGCCAAGACCCCCAACAAGATGCCCCCAGAGCCTCAGGGCACTGGAGGGGGACACTCAGGGGGATGCAAACTGCCGGAGGGTCCAGGAGGAGACGGCAGTCCGGTGTCCCCCTCAAACCCTCCAAGCTTATTTATTTTAAAAAAACCTACTGAGAACAGAGGACAAGGAGGGCTGATGCAGAGGCACTGTCTCCACGAGGTAAGAAAGGCTGGAGGCAGCTGAGCAGCCTGGGGGGGCCACACAGGCGCCCTGCCCTCGGGAAGAGGCCGGAGACACGAAAGTCAATGCACCCGGGCGCTGCCGACCACTGGGAATCTAAGAGGGTGAATGACTCCCATCAGCATAGCGGGCGACGCGATCAGGAGGGCAAGCCGGGGGAAGCGGGGGCCGAGGGACACGAATGAGGGGTGGCTGCGCCTTCTCCTGACAGAGGGAAGCCCGTCGGCCAGCCAATTCATCCATATTTATCTGTTGAGTGGAATTCAAGTAAAACAACCATTTTTTAAATTTAGGTGAAATTTATAGAACATAAAACGAACCATTTTTAAGTGCAGAATTCAGAGACATTCAGCACATTCACAGTGCTGTGCAACCACATCCTGTATCTGGTTCCAGACATTTTCAACCCTCAAAGAGACCCCGTCACCATCTGTGGTCACTCCCTGTCCCCTCCTCCCACCCCTGGCGCCCATCGATCTGCTGTCTGTCCCCGTGGGTCAGCCTGTTCTGGACATTTCACAGAAATAGACTCACGCACCACGTGGCCTTCTCCGTCTGGCCTCCCTCACTGAGCACGCCGTCCTCAGGCTCATCCAGGTCGCCGAATGTGTCAGGATTTCACTCCTTCTTGTGGCCGAATAACATCCCACGGTCTGGATGAAGCGGAGTTTGTTTATCCGTCATCCGTCAATAAACATTTGGGGTGTTTCTCGAATGAGGCCATTATGGGTGTGCTATTATGAACATTTGGGCATAAAATCCATTTTTTTCACTTTAAAAAATAATGTTGGAGAGAACCTGGAAGAACGAATAGGCAGAAGGAGCCTGGAGGATTGTGACCCAGCTCCGTTTTGTGGGGACACTTGTCCTAGTCAATACTGAAATAGAGTTTGAAGATGTAACTATGAATGAAGTGGGCACCAGTCAGGGACAAATGGAAGCCCCAAGGTCTGTCATCCCAGAGGACAAGGGAGCGTGCACGTGCCAGCAAAGCCGGAGGCTGCGAGGAGGGGGATGTCCATCGGAGTTTTGCCTCCTGTGCCAAGGCAAACTGCAGTTGAGTGAAAGAGTCATCAGCAAGGCAATCATTACAGATACATGGGATACACACCCACGGGCACAGCAGCTTCATTCAGAAGAGCCAAAATGTGGAAACAACCCAAGTGATCTATCGATGATGGACAGATAAACAAATGTGGTCCCCACAGTGGAATATCACTGCTACGACCTGGCTGAACCTGAGGACACGAGGCTCAGGGAAATGAGCCAGACACAGAAAGACAAACGCCGTGTGATTCCACTCATAGGAGGCCCCTGGAGGAGTCAAATCACAGAGATGGGGAGCAGGACGGTGGGGGGCCAGGGGCCCAGGGAGGCGGCTGGGGGATTGTTTAGTGGGGACAGTTTCAGTTTTGCGAGATGCCCAAGTTCTGGAGATGATGGTTGCACAGCAGCATGAGTGTAATTAATGTCACGGGACTGTGCACTTCAAGTGGTGACGGTGAATTTTATGTTGTGTGTATTTTATCACGATTAAAAAAATATGTGGGGATATTTAGCTAATCTCTGGATGGGAAAGACTTCTCGATTCTAAAGAGAGTGGAAGAATTTCCCAAGTAGACGAGTGATGGGTTTGACTTTGTAAAAACAGGAAGCAGGGTTCTATATCAATCCTGAAGCCAAAATGCAAAACACAGGGAAGCGCTCCTGCCCTGGGGAGCCACGGGGGGCTTCCTGCCGTCAGAGAGCCTGCACAGACAGACGGATGAGAGGACAGGCAAGGAGTAAACCCATCGTGGTCACCATGGGCCCAGGGGTGCTCCTTCCAAACCCCCCAGAGTGTCGGCATCTAGATATTCTTCTCTCCAGGCTGCCTGGTCAGCACCGTCACCTGTGTCCCTCAGGGAACATGTGGGCAGGGCCTGGTGGGGGACCCAGGTGGAGCCCCCAGCTTGGCCAGCTCCCAACAGGGTGGCCTCGGAGGAGCATGGACAGACCCATCGTGCAGAGGGCTGGGCGAGGCCACAGCCTGGTGTGGGAAGTTCTGTCGCCCCATGTCCACCCCCTCCCATCGCACCGACCCCTGTGGAGCTTCCAGGCTTCCTCTGTCCTGCAGTGGGGAGCCCAGCAGGGTGCAGGAAGAAGGGAGGGTCAGGGCTCAGTCACTGGCCACCGGGTGGCTGCTGCCTCGGCTGAAGGAAGCCCCTTGGTCTCCTGGTTCTGATACCCCATCCCCCACCCTTGGGACGTAAAGCCCCAACATTGTCAGCCCAGGGCACTGTGCCACCCACCGCCCTGCAAAGTGTCCTTTAATTAAAGTTCCTCAAACTGCGCACGTGGATGGGGCTGCCCGCAGAGTGGGGACGGGGTGCGGCAGACATTGGGGCAGCGGGAGCCACGAGGGCTGTCGGGCAGAAGAGAGACACGGCTGGTGCCCCCTGCCCAGTGCTCACTTTCTTCCACTGAGAACCAGCCCTGCGGACAGCCCCAGAAGGACTGTGCCCCTTCCCCTCGGGGCACCCCTGCCCTGCACCCACAGCCCAGAGCAACTCACACACATGAGTGTGGCCTGGAGGATGGACACTGGCCCGTGGGTGCAAATGTCGGGGATCAGATTGGCTTAGGAAGGGCCTCAAGCCCCTCTCTCGAGGCAGCGGCCTGAGGAGGGATGTTTGCTTGGGCGGAGTCCCTGCCCCCCCAGTGCTGGGACCCACCCAGGCACCTAGATGGTGCCCCTTGATCCCTGTCAGTGAGAATCTGGCAAATGCACAGCTGTCACCACCATCTCCAGATATGTAGCCTGACGGAGGGGAGAGAGTGGGCCTGGGACCGGGAGGGGCCAGGGCCCTGGAGGGAGGTGAGAGCCCCAGGGCAGGGAGGGGCAGAAATGGGGAACCCCCCCCCTCAGGCTCCTGGGCAGTCACAGGACCTTCAAGGTAAGGTCCCCCACCTGGCAGAGTGCCCACCACTTAATGTCACTCAATTATTCACTCAACAAACACCCTTCAGGGCCAGGGTGGCCAGACCAGCCCTCAGGAGCCGGGATGGCATAAGCCAGTCTGCACAGAACAGGACGGTGTGCTTGGCTGCAACAGAGGGGAGCCGGCAGTGTTGGGGTTGGGGACCCCTGTCGCCAGGGCTGGAGGAGGGTCACAGACTCAGGTGTCCTTCCAGGTCCTCCTTTCCACCCAGCCCTTGAGATCCAGGGTTCTGCAGGGGCCTGAGAGGTGACCATCGAAGATCCTATTCCCAATGCCATTCAGTCTCCCTGACCCCACCAGAGGACATCACAGCCCCCTCGGTCCCCAGGTTCCTGTGGGAAGTCCTTCCTGGTGTCTGCCCGTGGTCCACCCATCGTCCTGTCACAGGACATCCAAGGAGGGTGGGCCCTTCTGACCCCTCCTCAGGACCCCACCCAGGGCACCCGACACCCCTCCTGCCGATGGGGATTCAGCTGGGAGGAGCCGCCACCCGCCGGGGACTGTGAGCACAGCCTTGCTCAGCCCCCGGGATGGGCCAGACTCAGTTTCCTTCACTGTTGGGGTACAAGACCGGCTCTGCCTGTGGGAGCTGCGCCCTGATCACCCGCCCTCCCACTCGTGCCCCACCCTGCCAGGCAAACAGACCCCTCCTGCCTCTGCCCCCATCCCGGAGGCACCGCGTCCTGGCCCCGGGCCGGATTTCCTGAGCAAGGTCACTCCGGGAGCCACTGGAGCCCAGCGGCCAATAAAACCCATTGATGCGGACAGAAAGCCCATAAAGTCGTCACCCACCCAGAGGGTGTTTGCTCTATGTCCCCCCCCCCCCCCAATCAGGGCCTGGGGATGCCGGACCTCCAGGCAGTGTGGAGGCTCTGGGGCCCCGACAGCTGTCCCCAGCCTGCGCTGGGTACAGGAGGGCAGCGGCCTGGCCAGGATGTGTTCCCGTGTCCACTGGCTCCCAGGGCCCATGCTCCTCCTGGCACACTCATGCCCCTGTCCCGTGACAGATGCTCGGGGGTGTCCAGGTCCTCGTTCCCTCCAGCTCCATGCCCCATCCCCCCTGGGGGCTTCAAGGACTGTTCACGCTGGTCAAGCCTCGTTCCCCACGTCCACCTAGACCCAGCGTCCACGGGCTGCCTGGAGTCTCATGGAACATCCCACAGGTTCCCCCGCCCACTGGGTCCACACACACTCACACACACACATGCACACGCACACGTTCACACCCCACAAGGGCAGGAGCCGGTCAGGACACTGCTGGCGTCTGTCGTCCCCACGCTGGCGCGGCCCTGGGGAGGGAGCTCGCGATGTCGGATCAATTGGGAGAAATTGATCTGGGCAGAGATTTCTGAGCCATCTGCTCGCTCCCCAAAGTCATTCTGAGCAGATGTACTTTGTATCCACATCCTGGGGGAGGCCTGACCGTGTAGGGGGGGCGCAGGGTGAACAGGCCTCAGTTTCTCCCTGGGCACCCCGCCTCGCTCTGGGATGCTGTCCCTAGGGCAAGTCAGGAATGGGTTTGGTTACCAGTACCTGGTGACTCTGATTCCAGGCTCTGGAATGGAGGAGCTGTCCCCCTGCGCCCCAAATTGAGCCCAGGAGGGATGGAGACTCAGCCTGGGGCCCTGGAGGCTGCTGGGTCCCCACCCGCCCAGGAAGAGGGTCCCCAACCAGTCTCCCACTCCCAGCCCCGTCCTGGGGCCTTGAGGGGAAACACCTCTGCCCCCTTCCAAGCTGGTTTACACCTCTGCTTTGCTACGTCTAAGTGACCCAGCTGCCCACTTCCAGCCAAGGGTCCGCCCACCCCCACCCCAGGCTCCTCCATCCACTGCCTCTGATTTGCACCAGCTTCGATCGGCTCCAGGGACAATATTTGCTTTGGGAAAGAGTCAAACATTTATCCTCTCGTTTATTCAGGAGAGCGGCTGTCACACACAAGCGCCCTCATTATGCGATGGTGTTCCCAGGGCTTGGCCTCTGTCTGGCCAGTGCTCAGGCCCGGGCAGCGTGGACCAGGCCTGTCCCCTGCCCAGTACATCTCTGCCTGCTCCCTGTGCCTTCCTAGGGGTCAGGGTCCTGCTCTGGGAAGACCCAGGAAGCCCGAGCCAAGCTGGGGGTGGCACCGGGCAGGGCTATTCCAGATGGGGGCCCCGCGGGCTGAGTGAGCCCCCAACTCTGACCCTTCTCCTTCCAGCCTCAGAGAGAGGCCCAAGGCCCCGGGCTCCCAGCAAAGTGTGGGCATCTTCCCGGGACCCACAGGCCTGGTGGCGGGAGGAGCTGGTGTTTCTGGGGGTGGATAAGACCACTCTTGTCCAGGGACGCAGAATTCCTCAGGGGCCTGGCATTTGCTGGCGTTTTCACGCCTACACGGCACTGCCTTTCCAAGCCGCCTGCTATTTGCGCTGGGAGGCGGCTCCCCCACTGCCGTCTGGATATTTCTCTTCTGCTCCTATCCACTCTCCCTCCCGGGCCGGAGCCCCTGCTGAAAGCAGAAGAGCCAGCTGCAGCTTCCTGCGTCCTTGCCTGCCCCTCCCCAGGAGGGCCTCTCGCTGTGCTCCTGGGGACACCTGTGTCACCCCCGAAGCCTGGGGGCCCACTCTCCACCCCTGACCTCAGCCCCTTCGCTCTCCCTCTGCACTTGCTGCCCTCCCCACTCGCTTCCACGGTGGGACCCACGGAGCCCAGCCCAACCTCAGCAGCCTCCTGGGACCATGCCAGCAGCCAGCCAGGAAGGGAGAGACAGTGACGGGGATGGGTGGCGGGGTGGATGGGGGCTCGAGGACAGGAGAGCTCAGCAGGCCTGGCTGTCTCCCCTGGAATGCCAGTGCACTCGCTGCCGGGGGGCCGTGTGCAGCTTCACACCTGCCACCCCCAAAGTCAGCACAGCCATAGGTCCTGAGAGCTCTGGGGTAGAGGCCGCAGCCCAGGGCCTTCTGGCTCTTCAGTTTCACAGAGCAGCACCTGATGCTGACCAGGGGAAGCAGGGCTGATGTGTGGGGGGTACATGTGATAAGAGGGTGGAGGCCGGGCAAGCCATCACCAGCTCACACCGATGGTCACTCCCACAGCCTGAGGACAGGACTGGAGGGTCAGGATGCCCTGACTGTTGCCCGGGACACCCAGGCCTGTCCTACCCACCCCCTAACATCCCGGGACCTGGCCTGCATGGCGACAACAGGCTGGTGAAAGTGACGACTTGTCACTTCAGGACCAGGACCACCCATGGTCCTCACACCACAGGGAACCTCCAGGCCGCTGAGGGGGTCAGCTGGGCAGGACCCCGAATCTTGGGGGAGTGTTCTGCCTGGGAGAACGAGACCAGACAGGGGCAGGAGCCACCTGGCGCCGCCCGCCCACGGCCCTCACAGCTTGCTGGTCTGCATGAGCCCGTTGGCCTCGGAGCTGCGGGCGGGTAGCGTGGCCTCCTCTGGGCGGCCACCCTTGTCAGGCCGAGGCTCTGTGGCATCTGCGTCCTCAGCACCTGAACCCTTGCGGAGGCACAGAACCTTCCGGAAGCTCTGGCGGAAGTTGTCAGAGAGGAAGCCATAGAGCACAGGGTTGGCGCAGCTGTTGGCGTAGGACAAGATGACCACGAAGAAGTAGGCACCGGCAGAGGCGGGCTCCTCGGGCAGGACGAAGGCCAGGTTGACGATGTTGACAATGAAGAAGGGCAGCCAGCAGCCCACGAACACCACCACCACCACCACCACCATGCGGGTCACCTTGCGCTCCGACCGCCGCCTCGTGGAGCCCACGCGCACGCCCGACGCCTTCACCTTCACCACGATGAGCAGGTAGCACAGGCAGATGACGAGCAGCGGCCCGAAGAAGCCCAGGACGGACGTGTAGATGATGAAGACGGCACCCCACAGGCCCACGGGCTCCGGCCAGCTGAGGTTGCAGGTGTTCCAGCCCTCCTGGATGTCCGCGAAGATGACCAGCGGCAGCGACATGAGCAGCGAGAAGGCCCAGACTGCGGCGCTGGCCAGCTTGGCCACCCTCGGGCGGCGCCAGCGGGTGGAGCGGATGGGGTGGACAATGGCCAGGTAGCGGTCCACGCTCATGACGGTCAGGCAGAAGATGCTGGTGAACTGGTTGATGCCGTCCAGCGTCATGACCAGGCGGCACAGGACGTGGCCGAAGGGCCAGTAGGAGATGGCGTTCTGCGTGGCCAGGAAGGGCAGCCCCAGCATGAGCAGCACGTCGGCCACGGCCAGGTTGAGGATGTAGATGTTGGTGACCGTCTTCATCTTGGCGTGGCGCAACACCACGTAGATGACCAGCGTGTTGCCGCCCAGCCCCGCCACGCACACCAGCAGGTACAGCACGGGCACCACGACCGCCCGGGCCCCCGGCGAGGGTGCTGGCCCCACCAGCGTCCCATTCTCGCCACCTCCACTGGTGGCCGCTGAGGAGGTGTTCCAGCTGGCCAGTGCGGAGGCCGGGGACAGAGGCTCCATCGCGACACTGAGGGCAGGGCCGGTGCGTCGTCTTCTCTGCAAGAGAAGAGGAGGGGACGCGGGGACCATTAACCGGACAGCCAGGCACTTCCTCTCCCACGTCCGCCCTGCCTGCTGGTGAGGCACAGGATTACCCCACGGCATCGGGTAAACACGATTACTCGTGGTCGACTCCCCGGGAATCACGTTAAGCAAATTGTTTGGAAAACAAGCCCGAAGAGGAAGGAGCACATCTGCCTGTGAGCCGAGGCGTCGTCTGTCGATGCCCTGATGGCTTCCGGAGACATGACCGTCCCCACACCCTCCATGGCCTCCCAGCTTGGCCACGGCCACCCTTGCGTCTGCATCTGGTCTTGCTGAGGCTCATGGAGCCCTGGGGGCAGCACTGCCACCCCTAACTGGCAGCAAAGGGACTGAGGAAGGCAGGAGTCACCTCCCCAGGGACCCACAGGACGGGCGGAGAGGGACAGACTTGGCAAGCCCCTCACACCCAGCCAATGCCACCCACCAAGCCCTGCTCTCCTGGGCGGCCCCAAAGCCGGACTCTGAGTGGCCTTCTGGAACCGTCAGGAGGGGCTGGGCTTTCTGCGTGGCCGAGAAGCCAGACTTCAGGCTGCAGAGGCTCTGCCAGCGTCCACCTCGCTCTCGGGAAAGCTGCCTCCTGGGGAGGGGCGTCTGTGCCACCCCTGGCACAGCCCTGGCCGTGTGGCCGAGCAGCCTTGGCCTCACTGCCCCCTGCCAGCCCCTGTCCAGCCCATCCACCACAGCATGGATGTCACTGGGCCAAGGAGATGACCTGGAACAGCTGGGGGAAATGCACATGTGTGTGCGCACGCGTGGGTGTGCAGGGCAAGCCCGACCCTGGGAGAGGGCGTGTGGAAGGGGAAGCTGGGGAGAACAACGGAACGCAAGGGGTTTTGCAGGGAAAGAGCCGAGGCAAAGATGGGGGAATGGTAATGCCCGTGGTGCAGGGTGACAGGCATACATATTCCTTACACAGCTTTCATCCTTCTCCATGTGTCTGAAACAGTCCATCACGATGATGCTCAAGAGGAAGTGCCTCCACGGATGGGAGGGGCGGGGAGAGGGCAGGCAGGCAGGGCTGGGGCCTTGGCCACACAGAGTGGGGTGGGGGTCCAGCAGGGAGGCTAAGTGCCCCCAGGGACCCAGACAAGGACCTGCGAGGGGCTGGAAAGGGCGGCGATGCCCCAGCAGGGTCCCTCAGGCCCAGCAGCACCCAGGGCTTCTCAGAACTCACGACACCCTCCAGGAGGCCCGGAATCAACCACACTGACAACGACAGAAAGGATCCTCTGCTCCCAAAGGGCAGACACACCAGAATTTCCAGGTTCACTGGGCCAACTGACACCAGGAAACGTGAACACGACCAAGAACATCGCCAATGGGCAGGTGGACGGGTGGATTCATTTCAGGTGAAGTAAAAGCCATGTGACAACAAGAATGCCTGAGACACGTTTCTATGTGTTTAGCATCCTCAGCAAGGCGTGGATAAAAATATTATGAAATAAATTTGGCTTCTGTCTAAGAAGTAAAACGAACAAGTGTCTATTTTTGAAAATTACAACTCTTGGGTATGAAAAATTATCATTTGGACAAAAAAAATAAAACAAGACACAAAAGTCAGGATCAACGCCAGTCTGGATGCAGTTGGAGAGAGAATTGGCAAATCGGAGGAGGGGCTGAGGGAGGCCCCCAGAGCGTGGCACTGAGGCGAGGAGCCTGCAGGGGGCTGGGAGGGCCGGGGGGCAAATGCGTCATTCAGGTGGAGGGCTGGCCACAGACAAGAGTCCTGCTCGAAAGCACCAACCCTTCCCCAGAAGGATAAAGTAAAAATGCAACAGCATCAGAGCCAACCTCCGGAGCATCAGTGATAAAAGACGGCCTTATGGAGGGACAAGACAAAACCCATGAGGAGTGAGGATCCAGACAACAAGCCCCACCGGCCACAGGAGCCACGGAGGCAGCTGGAGAGAGAAACGCCGTCACCCTGGATCCCCACCCGGATGGGATGTTGTGACCTGATGTGAAGTGTGTGACAAAACCTCTGTTAAAAAAGGTCAAAGTTTGATGTTGGGGACCACTGCATTTAAAGACAAAGCTGGGGTCCCTCAGGCAGCCTGCTGGGCCCTCAGTCAGAAGGGGTGCTCCTGGGTTGGGGGAACCCACCCTTCCCGGGTGTTTCACCTGCGTCTGTGCCCAGCGGGGAGGAGGGCCTCCCGGGACACTCAGAGATGGGTGACCTGCAGGCTCTCTCTGCAGGCAGGGAGTCAGGCTGCTGATCTCTGTTCCTGGGACCTGGTGCAGAGGGGCCCCTGCTCATATTCAACAAAGCAATAAAAAATTTAAAATAATGTTTGAAGCTCCCTTGAGGTGCTGGTGGGGAATGACTTCTACCAGGACGCTGGTCTGGAGACAGCTGGGTGGGCTGTGTGCATGTCGAGGTGGAGAGTCCTGGGGGCCGCACCTCTCCCCAAAAACACCCAAGGAGAGGCTTCCGGCCCATTCTGCGTGGGACCCAAGGGGGCTGGGTGGGGAGGAAGTCGCAGCCCCCTGAGGAGTTTTGTTCACCCACAGAGAGCGGGGTCTCAGACGCGGCCCCAGCATGGGGCCTGGATGCGTTTGATGCTAAATCAGGAATGTGCTCTCGGCTGCTCAGGGCGCCTCCAGGGCCACTGCCCGGCGCCCGGCCGCCCAGGACCCTGAGCAGGCTGCGCAGAATGCCAGGCACCCCTGCTGTCCCCCCAAACGCCCCAACTCCCGACCGACTTCAGAGTGGCGAGGAGCTAAATCAGGCCGCGCTGCTGTGCCCGCTCTCGGAACATAATTCCGCAGGAGCCATTATTCAGAAGCGGCAATCTTCTTAGTCACAGAAATTGCACACTCGTGGGAAAACCATCCCTGGGGCCCTTTTCCCTGTGGGTGGGGGATGCAGCAGGGTGGGCTGTGCAACGGACTGTGAGCCAATGCTGGGGGCTTCCCCATCCAGGAGGGATCTTGTGGGGAACAGACCCCGTCCTCACCCTGCCGCAGCCACCCCCACACACTGGCCCAGTGATCCTGGGCAAGTCATGCCGTGTCTCCAAGCCCTGGCTTCCTGTAATCAGTGACTCCTACAAACTGCAATGTTGTGGAGCAGATGAAATAAGCTCGGGTGTGCAGGACGCCGTGTGCAGCGCCTGGCTCACTGCTGGTGCTGCCCGCTCGCCTGCCCCAAACAGCCCGGCACCTCCTGCCCACCGTCAGGAAAGGCACCTGCCCTGGGCAACACGGAGGAGGGGGTTTCCCAGGGGCTTGGGGACAGGGACGAGTCAATGCTCAAGTGCTCTGTGCCTGGGGGGGAGGTCCAGCCTGCACCACTCCAAGCCCTCCCAGGCTAGCCTGATATCAGGTCAGTGGGAGGGAGCCGGCATCCCCTATCCATGGGCAGCTGCCGCTGGGAGGAGTCGAGTCTCCGTTCTCCTGGGGCCCATGCCTCACCTGGGAGGCTGCGGATCCACAGGTGCTCCCTTGGCCTGTGTAGGGCGGGGGCAAATGTAGGGGATGGCATGGCTAAGAGGACAGGCCCCAGCACCACCCAGGGCCCTGGATCCAGGCCTGCCACCCCTGTGGGAGGACCTTGCTCTGGTGTGCAGCCAACTCCTGCTCCTTCCCCAAACATGCTCCGGCCGTCCTTATGGCAGCCTGTGGTCAGGGGCTGTACCCTCTCCCCAGGAGGGGGACACTGAGGTGGGTGTGGGCAGCTCTGTGCAGCAACAGGGAGGCCAGGCCAGCAAAACCACCTCCTCAGGGTCTTGGTGGGGTCTGCACACCCTCAAGACCACGTTTCACCCCCAGCAAACTTTCCTGGAAATCTGGGTCGTTATTTTGCCGGGAACGAATGGTGGTGAGTCATTGTCATTGGTGCTATGGACCACCTTGTGCCCGGAGGCTCCCAAGTGGTTGGCTGTCCCCAGGAACCTGTTCTTCAGTGGCGGCTCATCAGCAGCCAGCGCAGCCTCAGAGTCTGGACAGCACTGGCTCCAGCCCTCACCCTCACCCAGGACCCAGGGTGGCTGGCAGACCAGGGACAGTGGGCCAAGCAGGTGGGCAGGCGAGGGCCCTGCCGGGAGCCTGGGTGGGGAAAGGGCACACAGGTGAACTTCCAGGGCTGTGTTCCCTTCTGGGGAGGCTGCAAGAGGGCTCCAGAGCACAGGTGCCAAGCCCTGGAGAGGTGAGGGCTCCGTGTCCAGCAGGCAGGGGCAGCCCCATCTCCTCCCCAGGTCAGGGTCACGCACCTGCTGGAGTCCCCAGGGCCAAGCAGACCGTGCACCGGCCGACAGGCCCCTGGAGCTGGCCCCAATGCCTACAGTCTTCCCGCCACCTCCCCGCGGTCGAAGGGCAGACCCCACCTCTACCGGCCAGCTCAGACCGGCTCCCGCGCACACCCCCACGGCTCCTGCTCCCTCGGAGTTCCGCTTTCCACACCCACCCCCATCCACACCCACCCCCCATCCACAGCCTCTGAGCAAGGGAGCTAACCCTCCCCAGACGCGCCGCCTACTCTTCGCCAGCCCCAGGACAAACCCCACCGTGGCGCCCACCGCGGGGATGTCAGGCCGGGAGGGGCGCGGTGAGCAGTGTCCCTGCGGCTTCTGCCCGGACCCTGGAGCACAGAGCCCAGAGGCCGGAGGATGGCGAGGGCGAGGGCGAGGGCAGCGAGGTTTCGGGAGGGGATGGAGGGGCTGAGACTGGGGAGCAGACGGAAAGGGAGGGGAGGGACCCCGTGCGGCAGTAGAGGTGCATAGGGAGCTCGTGGGGGACAGGGCGAGCCGCAGCGAGGAGAGCACGGCGGGACCCCAGGCCAGGGCGGCGCACGGCTGCACGCAGGGTGGTGAGACCCCCGCAGAGGATAACAGGGACCTGAAGCGGGACCCCGGCGAGAGCGGAGGGCAGGGGCGCGGGTGCGGGGGCGCAGCACTCACCTGCGGCGGCGGCGGCGGCGGCGGCGGCGCCCTCTGGCCCG